CGTGTTAACGCAAGGCAGATAGCTAAAAGCATTCTTTTTTGCACACACACAAAAGAATACAAAAATAGAAAACAATAACATAATGTGGGCAAAGTCGGCCTTATCGCTTTAAGCGATCTCTTCCAGACAACCTTTGCGGTAAAGGATAGCTAAATGAAGTAAAGTTGTAGTATGCCAGCATAATGAAACATAGAAATATCTCTTATCTATTAGACAAGTCCGTCTGTCTGTGGTGCTGTTTCAGCGGCCAAACCGTAAGAGATAGATAAAGAGAATATCTAAGTTATAAGGTAAGAATAGTCTGATAAGACTACAAACTGGATTTGAGTAACGTAGCACTTCCGGTTTTCGAGAAATCAGGTTTCGGTGACATTTGGTTCACTGGTTTGCTAGTACATATTTAATTGAACATAAAATAAAGATTAATCATCATCATCAGCCTATTAATGTCCCCACTGCTGGGGCACAGGCCTTCCCTCTAGATGGAATAGGGAGATTGACCATGCCATGACCCACCACGCGGGCCCAGTGCGAATTGGCGGGTGCTAACGACTGCAGATGCAGCCGGGACCACGTGCCTTCCGAAGCACAGAGGAACTCGAGATAGATGTTTTTGGTCACCCATCCAATGACCGACCACTGCGAAAGTTGCTTAACTTCAACCATCGTAGCCGAACGCGCTAACCACCTGCGCCGTCGAGCTCCTCGATATATAAAGATTATAAACATATAAATAACATATACCTACACAAATATACACATCCTATATATACACATAGATATTATGCATTATTATATATTTTTAGATACAGCAGACTAGGATCTAAGTAGGAGAAAATCATGAAGAATATTTTTTTAAATATCAATTGACTTAGGTGGAAGCTTGTTTCAAAGTTGTGCAGCCTTAATCGTAAAGGAGTCCATATAAGGTAGAAGGGAGAAGCGTATAAAAACTGATTTAGGGTGAGGCCAAACGAGCGTAATTTTGTGAGTGGTGAGTCGCAGAATTTCGGTCGCAGAAATTCTGCTGCATTCGGTTTCATACAAAAAGGCAGTTGGTGCCACACGACAACGCAAAATGTGTTGTCTGCCGACTCAATGCGCATAAGCTCGTCCGAATTTCGGTCGGGGTGAGGGTAGGGCAAGGAAGGGGAGTGGGGAAGCAACAGTTTGTTACAAGTTGCGTGGTGTAATAATTCTTGAAAAACACGTAATGGCATATGATAGTACTTTTCAAACATATCTGGATTTGCACATAAACGTTCATATAAAGTATGGAACTGTCCACATATCAGCCTCTGACTATTCAGTGGGTTTACCCAGTTTCTTTTTCTGGCCTCATCTTCTGAATATGCTTCGTAAATACACAATATTTTTAATGGATCCATTGCACTCGACGACACGAACACCCCGTACTAACGCTCAATAGTAACTGAATAAATTACGTTCGTATGGCAGCTCAACAGAAATTCAGTTGAACGTAAAATAAGCGACTCACAACTCACAAAATTACGCTCGTTTGGCTTCACCCTTAGGCAATGGAAGTTTTGATGATCCTCGAAAGATGGCGTTAATCCTCCTTTGGTTTTATTTGCTTATAAAGATAATATAATAATAGTATATTAATTCTTAAAAAAATATTGTCATTGTCATCAATGCCGCAATTTTCATAATATATTAGAGAGGATAAATGTAATCAGTAATAAAAAGGCAATTATTGTTGATTAATACAAAATGACAAAAAAGAAAATCTAGTAATGTTTTGATAGAATTGAACCTTGGGTTATTGAGATGATGACTTCATGTTCCAACGAAAGTAAAAAGTTAACGCTCGAAGGCAAACAGTGTTTATTCTATATTTTCGAAATAATAGATCCAGCTCTATTAATATATTTTGAATTACATCATTGTCCGTTAGTTTTGACTCAACAGTTGGATATTTTTACAAGCTTTTATTTAACTTGCTATGTATGTTTGTTACGGTCAAATCTTACAACTCAATTTTAAAGCACTTGCCCTCAACCTCGTATGCTCGTTCAGTTCGGATGACAATGCATGATTAACAGTGTGACGTCATTCTAAATCCAATATGGCGGCATACCCAAAATGGCGGACCAATCATTTTTAATGCATTCCTACAATATGGGTATCAAATTAAAGGGCTTGCTGAGAGTAACTCGAAAAAAATGTAACGTCACTCTCAATCCAATATGGCGGACTTTTAAACGCATTCAGTTTGTTTGACAATGCATAGTTAATTGTGTGATGTCATTCTAAATCCAAGATGGCGGAACACCCAAAATGGCGGATATTTTTTTTTCTTTTTAGCGCATTTGAATAAAAGCTTGTTTTTAAAAAGGTTTTTTTAACCTTAATTTTATTTTCCCACTTATTTATAAATAATGCAAATTTAAAGTACTTAAATCTCTTTTGCTGTTCACTCAATCATATTTTATAGTATTGCAATTATCTTAATTGTTTTAACACTATTTTCACTGTGGCACTGGTTACAATTTAACTTTATCAAATATTAACTTTAAATGGATAAAATTTTGGTGGTTAACACTTTCACAAATGTCGCTTCAAAAGTTGAACTTAAAAATGTATTAATTAAGTAAAATTTAATACTTTTTATATTATTAAATTGTTCTAAAACTAGGAGATGGTGTTTACGTGACAGCAGCGCCATCTGGCACTGTACATTATTAATAATTATACCTTAATAAATATACATTTCATTCATTCAATACAATTCAAATATCAGGTCAATTAATTAATTTAATTACAAACATTTCAATTATGATTCAAAAAAAACGTCAGTACACATTTTTAGGGTTCCGTACCTCAAAAGGAAAAAACGGAATATGATCACTTTGTCGTCCGTCGTTGGTTTTTCTCAGGAACGCGTGAAGGTATCAAACTGCATATCATATCTAATACTCATGTCTACTGTCCCTTGGAGCTGTGAAAAAAACAAACTTCTAAGCCAAAGTAATCAACAGATACAGCCGCTTATGCCGCAAATTTCTGCAAATTTTCAAAACTCGCACGGGAATCAAAGCCTACTGGGTACTTCCCTTGAACTTAGAAATCTTGAAATTTGGTACGAAGTAACGTTTTATAGTACAGATAAAGGAAAACTTGCGAAAACCGTAAATTTTTAGATACATCCAATAAAAATTTTTTTTTGAAAATTTTAAAATTACTACCTCTTTTTCTCATGAACGCGTAGAGGTATTAAATTGAGTTTGTACGGAACCCTCGGTACGCGTGTCCGACTCGCACTTGGCCGGTTTTTTGAAGTGAAAACTTCTTTAGCGGCATTGTTCACTTTTTTTTGTATCGGTAAAAAATGTTAAACTCGCGTCAGGTTGAACACGTGGGCTGATCGCATTATGACACACAATAAAATAAATCTCTATCTTGGACGTCGTTACAATAGATGTCACTAAGTGCGCTTAAACGTGACGCATGTAAGTTGATTTTTCTGAGAGATAAACTTTTTTAATGTAATATAAATTGTCATGTTTGTGTACGATAGCGCAATAAATAAATGTTGTATTCTACCACATACATGATAGTACTTTTATACTGATAATTAAAGCAATTCGGGCATAATTATTCCCTAACCATTCCAAAATATCAAAAATGCACAACGTTAATATTCAAGTTTTTACTTCTGCCGGCACTCCCGGAGTTCAACCCGTCGTTTTTTTTTTGGAACGAAGTTCCTTACGGCAGGCTTGGAGGGCATAGGGATTTTGCTGCGCGACCGAACTGAAATAAATGTGATAGTAAAACCGTAAGAAAAAGTGCGTGGAATAAAACCGTTAAATGAGACGTGCGCAGGCGCGACAGTCGCATACACAAGCGAGTTTGCAATTTGTGTCGATTCTACATTAGCCGAAGGAACTTCGTTCCTACCTGGTGTCCCACGACACCACATCATTTTTTTTTCTATTTATTAAGGACCCCTCAGCGAGTAAAGGCCTCCTCCATTTTACTCCAAGTTTTTCTATCTTTGGCCTTGGTGATCCAGTCTCTACCAGCCACTTCGTTAATTTCATCTAACCAATCTTTGTTTTGACCTCTAATTCTTTCGTGTGGAAGTCCTTTCCAAGTAGTCACTTTATAAGGAAGGAATGTTATATTATATTGTAAAACTAGTGGCCCGCCCTCGCTTCGCTTCGGTGTAAAGCTGTAGTGTAGACTATAGTTTTTGTTCTCAGGCTTGTATTATACACAATGACATTCTTCTAATACCCAATTACAATAGGCACGCGCCGCCAAGCCCGGTAGCGTCGGAACCGCTATGTCCCTGAATTTTAAATTTGTAATATCTTCGAAAATATTCATTTAAATTATATGCGTTATAGGGCCAAATTGTTCTGTATTAAATGCACAATGTATTTAAGGTACTTAATTGGATAAGGATGAATGTTATATTGCTTAAAATCGCTTCGTAAATAATCTATTATTTCTCGTAAAAAGTATAGGATAAAAATTGGTTATTGTGGGTTATCCTTAAGAGATAGACATATACCATCGCGGACTTTTTTGTAGACCTTTTTAAGGTGTACAATACTGTAGTATATTATTTTGATCTATCTCGTGGGGTTCAGCCAGCGTTTGCAATGTAAGCGCAAAAAATGTGTTTATTTACGACCTTACATTAAAAACCTCTAAAATTATCAGTGTTTCTCTACTATATTATGCATGTATTATACATATTAACCTTCCTCTTGAATCACTCTATCTATTAAAAAAACCGCATCAAAATCCGTTGCGTAGTTTCAAAGATTTAAGCATACAAAGGGACATAGGGACAGAGAAAGCGACTTTGTTTTATACTATGTAGTGATACGAATTAAAATACTTATCTGAAAACGTAGACCGAAAACATTTCTTACTGTAAAACATTATTTTCACACGAATTATTCCCTTTGTCGATGTTGGCGTACAAAGCGTTTGTTAACTCACTAAATGTTTGTCTTCCGCAGATACTTGTAAACGTGTGTTTGCTGACGTCAGCGGATCGAGGCAGTTTGTTCCTCGCAAAGGGAATACCTGCACACCGTTACCTTCAGGCCAAACTGTTTGATGTTACCAGAGATACTGGTGAGTTTACTTAGTCTTAGTAGAACGGCGGGCTGTTTCCGCAACTCGACATCTGGTGCCTATTTTGCGTGGGGATTGGCATCAGTCCTGCCATCCCAGCTCCTCCAGAAAGCTCAGCAGTCCCCGAACGTTACTGCAGGCCTCTACTATTGTCTTCGGGCTTTCCATTAGAGAAGTCCTTTGTCTTGCAACGCCCGTGCACTCCAGTAGCACATGGGCGCTCGTCTCCTCGTCCTCCAGGCAGGCTCTGCACAGAGGGCGTGAGTTTACTTAACACATGCAAAATTTTACGAGCATTTAGTTAGTTTAATATGATTATGTAAGTTTAAGTTAGCTTTGAAGTAGCCTAATTGAGTTTAGTTAAGGCTTTCTGCGAATGGGAGGACATGAAATGTATTTATCTGCATCAGTGTTGCCACCTTGGTGGTTTTTCCACCAGAACTGGTGCTTTTTCACGGCTTCTAGTGGTATATTTTCATTATCTAGCGGGTAAAGTTTTTTTAGTGGTTTTTAACATATTTTTAAGGGGGAAATGCCCTAACTTTCCGAAATTTCATAATGTTCTATGTGGTTACTCACAGTTATTTCTGTAGCATCTCAAACATATTCACTGGTTTTTTATTTAAATTAGGGTTTTTTGTTATCAGAGATGTAATTGTCATTTAGCGGATTTTGGTGTATTTTATTAAATCCAAATTTTTGAAATCTGGCGATTATTTATTTTACCTTTGACTTGGCGCAATAAAAAAATCCAAGGTGGCAACACTGATCTGCATAAGCGAATAACACAAAGGAAATAAGTTTTATAGTGTAACTGGCGACCGCCTGCGACTTTGCGTAAACTGTTTTTGAGATAAAAGGTATCTATGTCTCAATCCAGGTCCTATACTATATGCGTACCAAATTTCATCAAAATCAACTCGGTAGTTTTAGCGCGATTTTGACTTGTAAACATACAAACATTCACATTTATAATATTAGAAGGATTACAGTCACCATCAGCCTGTTGATGTCCCCACTGCTGGGGCACAGGCCTTCCCTATGGATAGAATAGGGAGATTGGGCCGTGACCCACCACGCGGGCCCAGTGCGGATTGGTGGGTACTAAAGACTGCAGATGCAGCCGTTACCAACGGCTTAACGTGCCTTACGAAGCACGGAAGAGTGAGAGATAGTAAATTTTTGGTCACCCATCCAATGGCCTACCACTGCGAAAGTTGCTGAACATCAACGATCGCACCGAACGCGCTAACCACTTGCGTCGTCGCGCTCCTCCAAAAAAAGTTAGCAAGCTATTCAGAAAAGTGTTTTCAATTCATTTATAAGATTTACTAGCTGTTCCAGCGAACTTCGTACCGCCATAAAACAATAGAGGTTGGTGGTAGAAGGGTGAAAATTTAGGGTTGTATGTATTTGTGTATGATGTATCATAAAAAAATTAAAAAAAAATTTCTAAAATAAAAAAAAAAATTAGGGGTGGATTAACCCTTAACATTTAGAGGGATGAAAAATAGATGTTGTCCGATTCTCAGACCTAACCCGACAATATGCACACAAAATTTCATGAGAATCGGGAAAGCCCTTTCTGAGGAGTTTAACCACAAACACCGCGACACGAGAATTTTATATATAAACTAGCTGACCCAGCGAACTTCGTACCGCCCTAAAAAATAGGGGTTGTCCAGCGGACAAAATTGTGAATCTAAACCATTCTCAGATCCCCTTGAACACACACAAAAAATTTCATCAAAATCGGTCCAGTCGTTTAAGAGAAGTTCAGTGACATACACACTCACAGAAGAATTATATATATAAAGATAAATAAATAAATATTTCCAACACTCACACCAATTAGCCTAGCCCCAAAGTAAGCACTATAAGGCTTGTGTTATGGGATAATAGGGTAACGGATAGAATACACATACTTTACATATATAAGTATATTTATATAGAAATACATATTTAAACATCCATGACTGGAGTACAAATGCTCGTGTTCATCACACAAATATCTGCCCCCGCTACAATCCACTCGGCCACGGAGGTCGTCTTAAAGATTTAAAGGTTTACAAAAGAAGACTTAGCTTTTTTAATACATAAACAAACTATTTTTTTACCGACATCTTCGCTAACGTTATTTTCATACATTAGTTAGTTATTTAAGAGTTGGCAAAAACTTTCCTTTACATTGAAGCGTCCCCAAAGAAAACAAATCGTTTTCGGTATAATTTTATCCTCTCTGAGAACGCTTTCTTGTAAACCAACACCCAATTATTTTCGCACGGTATCATCAAAAGCGAAATAAGAAAACCGCCACGATAAAATATTTACCGCTCTCCTTTTCAATACCTTTTGAACGATCGGCTTCTTTGTTCACTTAGACCTGTAAAGTGATCCTCGCATAGGTACTTTTACTTCAAGAGCACTCAGATGAGTCACATTCAAGATTATCACGATATCACCTTATCATGATATTCGTTGATATGTGCGCGATTATCAAATGCGCACGTATTGTTATGTATTTTTACAAGCTTTTATTTAACTTGCTATGTATGTTTGTTACGGTCAAATATTACAACTCAATTTTAAAGCACTTGCCCTCAACCGGTTAAGTTGAAATTTGGTATGCTCGTTCAGTTCGGATGACAATGCATGATTAACAGTGTGACGTCATTCTAAATCCAATATGGCGGCATACCCAAAATGGCGGACCAATCATTTTTAATGCATTCCTACAATATGGGTATCAAATTAAAGGGCTTGCTGAGAGTAACTCGAAAAAAATGTAACGTCACTCTCAATCCAATATGGCGGACTTTTAAACGCGTTCAGTTTGTTTGACAATGCATAGTTAATTGTGTGACGTCATTCTAAATCCAAGATGGCGGAACACCCAAAATGGCGGATATTTTTTTTTCTTTTTAGCGCATTTGAATAAAAGCTTGTTTTTAAAAAGGTTTTTTTAACCTTTATTTTATTTGATATAGATTTAAAGAACACAGGGGAAAATAATGTTGGGTAAACCTTTGATAAATATACAGGGTGTAAAAAAATCTATGACAAAGATTTAAACTACGCATTCTGTACACCCAAACAAGTCATATTACAAAATATTATATGTGGGGAAAAAATTGTATTTTTAAGTTAAAAAATACATTTTTTTCCAGCACGTAATATATAGCGCGGCGCGCTACTGTGGCGTTACGCAAAGAATGTGCCTGTGTGTATAAGTGTGTGCGTGTGTCTAAGTGCGTCGATAAAAAAGTTTCTAAATAACGTTTTGAAAATATTAATGTATAAATATGAAAAAAAAATATTTTGGCTTTGACCTTCAATATCTCCATAACCATAAATTTCCCAGGTATAGTCCAGAAGAAAAAAATGATCATCATGATGTGGAAAATACGTGGCCTTCGACTTCGTTATAGGTTTTTTTACAACCTGTATGTATGTTCAAGAAGTACATTTGAACACACTCATTCCAGACCCACTTGCTTGTGGGTTGACTACGCGGGTTTATTTCTTATTAAAACAATGTTATAAATATCTCCAATTAATTATGGCAAATGCAAGTTATAAATGAATGTCAGTGATTTAAATCGGAGCTAAGAAAAAATATTATGTCCTTTTTTTTTCCGAACAAAACGGAACTGCGCACCACTGTGACATGGCCGATAACGTTTACGATACGGTTCTTTTGTATTAAAATATGATTTCAATGTTAACTTAGATTTCACTCGCGTATTAACAAGCTTTAATAGCTACACTTCAGAACCTCACTCAACAGTGGCGCCATCTGGTGAGACAAAAATTGTGTGTGTCAGCTCCGACGCACGACTGGAGTTTACTCCTTAAGTTCGATAGTCTAACCAGACGCAAAAAGAGTTTATTTAACTTAAAATGATTGATACTGTATGAAAGGGTAAATTAACAAATTAATGAAAACTAGCAAACCAGTGAACCAAATGTTCACCAAAACCTGATTTAAAAATAATGTATTTAATTAAGTGAGAACTTCGGAGATTTTGTGTGGTTTCGTTTAAAATTCGTGATTTCTCGAAAACCGGAAGTGCTACGTTACTCAAATCCGGTTTGTAGTCTTATCAGACTATTCTTAACTTATAACTTAAATATTCTCTTTATCTATCTCTTACGGTTTGGCCGCTGAAACAGCACCACGGACAGACGGACTCGTCTAATAGATAAGAGACTAGCAAACCAGTGAACCAAATGTTCAGCAAAACAAAAATGTATTTAATTAATTGAGAACTTCGGAGATTTTGTGTGGTTTCGTTTGAAATAGAAATCAAGTGATTTCTCGAAAACCGGAAGTTCTACGTTACTCAAATCCGGTTTGTAGTCTTATCAGACTATTCTTAACTTATAACTTAAACATTCTCTTTATCTATCTCTTACGGTTTGGCCGCTGAAACAGCACCACGGACGGACGGACGGACGGACTTGTCTAATAGATAAGAGATAATATATATATATATATATATAAATATATATTTATTCATTTCATATACATTTATTATAATTAATCGACGAAATATTTTACATTAAACTTTTTACAATAGTCAATTTCAGATGTGCATAAATATATCATTAGGAATGTTGATAAATTATGTAGTTATTATTATCAGACTATTATCATTTTTTTAAATATTAATTAAATCAACATTGCCTGCATTATTAATTACAGTGATAAGTGGTTTATGGTAATTAAAATAAGACACCTGGATGTTCGTAGATACGTGGTTCACGAATCTTGAAAATACTGCATCAATGGTTGTACCATACCTCGTTGTCCCCATTGCTCTATCAGAAACAATATCTAAATTAAGTTCAGATTTCAAAAAAAAATATTAATGTCAATCCGTCATCTTTGTTTGTCAAAGTTGCGCGACATAGGATGCGCACCAAAAACGTAACGAGGTCATTCATCGATAGATTTTACTCCTTACATTTTTCTCATACCGGGCCCCTTATATATGCAA